TGATGGTGTCTCTCCACCGCAACTTTTGGCACTCTGGCGCTTCGCGCTGTCTGGCCTGTCTCCTGAGAGACTGGGCTGCCCGCATTGTGATTATGGGCTTCCTTTCCAGCAGTTGAATGGTTTTGAAGTTTTGACCTTTTTGGTCCCACTCTCCTGCAGAAATAAAACCTGTCACCTATTGACAGAAACGAAAAAGCCAGAGCCACCCTGAGGCCGTTCGCAAAGTTTCAAATGGATTCTTCACAAAAATATAAAATCTCTGAACAAACAACTCAATTTGACGAGTATTTTATGTATGTAGGTAGTCATGTATAGTAAGTGTTTTGCGCGAATGACCTCCAGCCAGGATTCTGGGATTGAAGCTGGCTCATCTGCTGTTGAGATGTTGCAGAAAACCAGGAACATCAAAGCAACTCAGATTGCGTGACATGAAAGGGCTTCCAATTTCCGAGAAAGTATCATGAAAATTGAAAACAAAACCATGATCAAATCATCACTTAAATTGTCCTGGAGGCGCCAACTACAGATCAGGTCAGGTGCCTGATCAAGCTGCTAAACATCGGCTCAAGACTCACTCATCAGCCGCGTCCTCGTCGAGTGGCTCGTCGTCATCATCCTCCATGAGAGCGCCTCCGGATCCGCCTTGCAGGGCCTTGAGCTTTTCCAGGATCTCCTCCTTCTTGGGTTTCTTGTTCTCCTGCTCTGCCTCTTCCTCGCTTGGGCGCTTCGGCTGCGGCTTGGGCTTGGGGCCGCCCTTGCCGCCCTTGCCACCTTTGCCGCCACCTTTGCCTCCTTTGCCGCTTCCTCTCCCCTTTGAAGTTGGCGCAGGAGGGGCAGGACGTGGCGGAGCACCGCCGGTGGCCTTCTTCAAGAGGGTCTGCCTCTCAGGTCACTTCGGCGTGACTTGATATGTGGCAGCTTGTGTTTAAAATGCTATACAATGGTATTTATGAGATAAGTCAGTGTAATGAGTGTATACATATGAAATACCTCAAACTCATAGAGTTACACAGCGTATAGTACATTCCATTCTTTGAAGTGCGTCCCAGGCACAATTCCACCTTGTAGTACGCAGAGCTTTGATCCTGGAAATGCTCCCACACAAATCGAACCAGAAGCTTTCGAAGTTCGATGGCATGAAAGTCAGTGAAGCAAATGCCAATGTAGGACTTCTTTGCCAGAATGGCAGCTTCTGCTCCCTTGCCGTCAATCTCCGTTCCATTGACCATCAGAGAAGCTGCGAGGCTGTGGAAGAGTTCTGCAAAAAAGCCTTGTGGCATCGTGTGGTAGTTGACCGGGAATCGATCAGCGCCAAGATCTGGTCGGTCCGGGCAATCTGGCAAGGCACCTCCCGCCAATACCTTCCCTGCGGTGCCATAGATCTTGTCCTTCTCCTCCTTTGACACAATCCAGCACCCTTGCTCCTGATCGTAGGGAAGGACCTTCACGGGCCCGATGGTAGAAGACAACGAAGTCCCTCCGTAGATTTTGCGAGGGACTTCTGCCACATTCAATGGCAGCCACTTGAGACCAGGTGCATCCCTTCATGGTTTATCACCATGCCCCGAACCAAGCACTTGCGACTCCGCACTGATTGCTCATCGTAATGCACCATCGCTTCCTGGCGTTGCTTTTTTTCCCAATGCTGCCCCTGCTCATCTCCAAAGAACTTCACACAGGCACCGAGCACCAAAGAAGACAGCTGTCGCCCTCCATCCAAGACACAAACAGCATCCTCTGAGCGAGGCTGGGGCCCACCTCTGCCTCGCGTGAAGGCTGAGGCGATCTTCTGAAAATGATCCGGCAACCTTTGTGTCATAGACCAAGATCGCCCTCTGATCATTGGACATGCTTGCGCACGATTCCAAGATCTGGCCCAATGCCCTGCATTGAGTCCTGCTCTACGACCAACCTGACAAATTGGTCAACGAGCTGCTCAGCTTCTTTGGCATAGGAAATGAGCTTCTGCGCGGTCTCATCATCGTCCTCATCCACGCTCAAGCTAAGATCGGGCAAGAGCTCATGAACGAAGATTCCAGTCTTGTCGCGGGCGCCCTGGCTCTCCTCACCCTCGACACCCTGCTTCTGCGCCCTGCGCATCTTGTCAATCTCCTCCTTGATGACCTCTATCATCTTGTTGAAAGGTTCATGACACACGATGTCCGCAGGCAAGGTCGATGTCTTGAGAGATGTGCGGAGCTGCCCATCATGTCCGTTGCGATAGACGACATTTTTGATCATGTGGATCAACAAGCGCTCTGCATCCACGACAGATCAGCCCCCTCTTGAAATTTGGCTCGGACCTGACGGTGAGAGCGCATGGTCTCCATGACGGAGTTGGCCTCAGCAGCAGGAAGGCCCCAATTCTGGCTTTCCTCCACCAAATACTTCAAAAGGCCTTTCTTGGCCAGAAATTCATCTCGTACCTCCTCCAGTTCGGCCTCCCTTGAGAGTTCGGTTGGTGAAGGCTTTGTTTGACACTTCTCCACGCATCAGCATATCCTCAATGGAGTGCAAGATCCACAGCATCTCATCAATCTTCTTGGTCTTCATGCAAACCGCCTCCAGCACAGACATGTGCTGAAAGCAGCTCAACTTTCCAAAGCGCTCTTCCAAGCAAAAGATGACATCAAATGCATTCTCATTGGACAGCATCCGCTCATGGATTTTCATCGCACTGTCCACAAACTCGAAAGCACTTTTTGGGCAATCATCCTCCGGGCCCAGGTCCTGAGTCTTCTTGCTCCAGAGCTCTGCCAAATCAGACCTGGATAGACAGGCTGTGTGGGTTTCTTCGTAGGTGGCTTTCAAAGAAGCGATCTCGAAGATGGTTTGCACTGTGCTCCGGGCTGCGCTCTCATACGTTGCGATGTACCTCTGGCGAAAGGTCAAGGCTCGGAAAAAGGCTTCCTCCTTGGTCTCAATCACCTCGCAGCGCAAGCTCACTGTCAGGAAGACGTTCCTCCATGCCCTCAGTC